ACCAGCCAATAATGTGGCTCAAATCTCAATACAAATGGGGGGAAAACTCCTTTGCAGCGTGCATCACTAAATGCAAAAGTCATGCACAATGCAAAGAAGGCTACAGAACGGCGGAAAACACTTTTCTGCACGCGGGTTCTCCATTACAACAGAACACTCCGTCATGCAAAAGAGCTCCAATTCGGCGGAAACATAATTTAGCGGTGCCGAAGCGCACACAATTAAAAAATCCACAACTTTGGGTTGTGACAGGTACCAAATTCCCCCTGAAGTTCCTAAATCCCTCCAGTATATTTCCAAATCAAGCTATAAAACAAGATACTTGTTTTTCAGATTTTTCATTTTTATATCATAACATAAATTTCATTGCAAAAATACCTTCACCAGAGCAAGGAAGATGCATGTTTTCCTTTTGCCAAGAACCGATTCTCCTTAGAATTTACAGTGGCTCTCCATTACAGAGGTTTATAATCCTATCTTTAAAAGTTGTTAATTAAACAAACCTGTTTAGCCAACTGATCCTTCTTCACCAAGCCAGTGGCTGCAGCAATATTCCCTGCTCCTTCCACTGTCTTCTGTGCAACTGCTGTCACTCCTGTCACCACAGCTCCCCCAACATTAGACACCTGTTCTTTGGTCTTCTCAGCCACTGTAGAAAATAAATAAATAAATAATATGTCACTGTACAGGGAGCTGAAGGTTAGTCAGGGAAAGTAAAGTACCCTGTTGATAGGACAAAAGTGAGAGTACATCAATGGGTAGACACGGGAACCATTACAATCTCTCTAAATCCCACCTAAATCGTAAGACATGAAATGGTATCATTTAATAATACCACAGCGGCAGCACAGCTAGAATTAAGGACCTAGCTGTAGTTCATTTGTTGCTTATTAAGGTTTTACCCTGTTTGCTCACATCAGATTCCACTGTGGAAGGACAGAAGTTATTACTTATGGGCCTTTATTATGCCCAACTGCATTCCATAGCCTTTACATTCAGTGCAATGCAATAGAAAAAATGCATTCTGATTAGCTCATACAACAGTTTGGCTACATGCAAAAGCAATCAAAAACAACTTACTAAACCAATCATTGCTTCCCAGCCTGTGAGCAACACAATTTCAGAGACTATGTTTTATCTGCTTCCAGATACCTGCACTCCACTACAGGGACTGAAGCCCATGTTGAACAAGAAACAAAGCCAAAATAAATCAAAGATACCCAGGCAATCTAACTTTGTGCCTACCATGCACATACCCTACATACACATGAATGATTCTTCCATTCTTCCTTTCAGTATTATACAGGGCTCTGGCTGCTCATTCATATCCAGGGACAGCTTGCGTGTTAGTGAAATTGGCTTGGGAAGTGCAGTTAGTCTCTATGCATTAAAGATTCAAGGCCAGATTATCAGAAGCGCTCTCATTTAGTCACCTAAAAAGGGTTAAATTTTCAAGACTGTCAGTATCTACAGAGCTTCCTGGGAAAACTTGATCTGGTCATTTACTTTGTCCAAATAGTTCCTACTCTCTCCTAAAAATCTGATTCCCGTGATGCATTCATATCTAAAATTTCACAAATTGACAGAGAATTTTCCCTCCAACTGGTACACAAACTTACAGCTCCCTCACATCTGGAGTCCTGTGTCCAGTTTTGGGCTCCCCACTACAGAAAAGATGTAGACAAGTTGGAGAGAGTTCAGTGGAGGGCAGCGAAAATGGCTAGGGGGCTGGGGCACATGGTTTATGTGAGGACAGGCTGAGGGAGCTGGGCTTATTTAGTCTGGCGAAGAGAAGACTGAGGTCAGATATAATAGTAGTCTTCAAGTATCTGAAGGGTGGTTTCAAAAAAGATGGAGCTAGATGGTCTATCAGTGGTAACAGATAAAAGAACAAGGAGCAACATTCTCAAGTTGCAGCAGGGGAAGATTAGGTTAGATATTAGGAAAAACTCTCTCAGTAGGAGGGTAGTTAAACACTGGAAAAGGTTACCCAAATAGGTTGTGGAATCTCCATCCTTGGAGGCTTTTAAGACCCAGCTAGACAAAGCCTTGGCTGGGATGATCTAGCTGGGGTTGGTCCTGCTTTGAGCAGGGGGTTGAACTAGATGACCTCCTGAGGTCCCTTACAGCCCTAATTTTCCATGATTCTGTGATTGTATACAACATTAGGAGATGTGATTAATGACTTCCTATCCAGCATTTAGGAAACACAAATGTATGACTTAACTCTTTCCTACCTACTAACAATGAAAACAAAAAAGCAGTAGAAGCTGGATTACAGATTATTATTACTTGTTTTACCATAGCACCTAGAGGACCCACCAGGAGTCGTCATTTGTGCTAGGCACTGTACAAAACACAGAAAAAATCTCTGCTCAAAAGCTTATAATCTATGACAAGGGAAAGCTGCTTTCTCCAGAGACACTGCAATCTTCATTTAAATTGCTTCCATCTCAAAACAATAAGCAGAGCTGTTCTCTACTAAACATGGGTAAAGCATGTCACCCAAGGAGCATTCCATCTCAGAAATACAATTTCAGCTTTATCCAGGCTTTGCCAAGCACCCATTTAGATACGATGAAAATTTCAAAACCACTTTAGAAGTCTTATGCCCAATTTTTAAAGGTATTTAGGTACATAAAGAGGTTGAAGATATTTGGTGAGATTTTCTCACACATCTATGATGGATGCCTCCACTTTGCCAGGGGCCTTTTTCTTGGCATGAAACCAGCAAAGTAGAAATACCTAGCAGCAAAGGGGCACCTGCCCTGGTCACTAAGTTAGGAGGGGCACTAGAATCACCCTCAATCCCCACAGAGTCCACTCCCTGGGAGGAACCTCAAAGCAGTCCCAGATGCTATTGCATTAAGAATAATAGAACCATGGCATGCAGAGAATAATAGAACCATGGAATACATCTTGGCAGCCTCCTACCCACCCTCCCTCCCCTCATTCTCAGAACCATGCCCCACAGCTTCCCACCCCCTCCACTCTCAGACTTCTATACCCGCAACCTTGACTCTCAGACTTACACCCTCTGCCCCTACCCTCCCCCTGCTCTCAGAACCTGCATGCCCCTCCCCTCCACTCTCTCACAGGGTTTGCCCTGGGCACCAGTACAACTTGTTGTGGGGCTGAAATTATTGCTGGTTAGGTAAAAATAGTCTGTTACATATAATATTCACAAGACAAACTTCAGTAAAAATATTATGGCTAGGGACAGATGATCAGAAACTGGTTTAAACCTGTAACAGAACAGATGTTCAATGCACATCAACCAGTTTGAGAATGGCTGAAACCAGTTTAAGATAAACTTGGTTGAATGTAGTATTAGACTTAACTGATTTGGCTCAAACCAGTTTATGCAATGTCTGTCCCAGACCCCTTGCTGATATAAGATAAATCAGACTCTCCGAGCATCCTGGCTTGCTCTCTGGGCTGGGCGGGACTCTCTACTCCACAGCAGGGCTGGACCCTCCCCTCTGCTCCCTGGCTGCAGCTCTGGCAGTCCCTGAAGGCATCCACCTGGCTTCTGCTCCCCCCTCCCCCACCATTCCCCACTCTCTGTTAAGCAGGCGTTCCCCCATCCCACACAGAGAGCTCTCAGCATTAGCCAGCAGACCACATTCTGGCTACCTCTGAGCTGTGGCACATGGGACAAAGGTAGAATCAACAGATAGCCGGTAATGTCCCTCTGTTGTTTTCCTAATGGGGTGATAAACACTGAGTTAGGGGTGATAAACATTCCCTGCTGGGCTGGTTAGGAGGAGGGGAACCTCTCCCTAATCAGAGTGTCCTGCCAGGGCCTAGTCATGTCCCCCCTCATCTCAGCTCTGTGGAAGGGAGGGGAGGGCTGCTCTAGCACTCCCTGGCTTCTAGCCTGAGCCACTCCAGGCATGTGCCTGCATGTCTGGGATGTCTGTCTGGTTACAAAACTCATTTATCCTAGCCAGGTTAGAGTAACCTGTAAAGATTGAATCAATTCAGGCTCAGGCTTTTTGAATGTCTGTCCCTAGCCTATGTGTTTTCCCTGAATTAAACAAAGAACTCTTAATCAATTAAATAACCTGTGTGACCTTTTAAAGATTTATAGATTCATAGACTGTAGAATCAGAAGGGACTCCGAAGGATCATCGTGTCTGATCCCCAGGCAGGAAAAGGACCAAGGTCAGATGACAAAATAGCATGTTTGTTAAAGTTGAGTTCTTTTAACTATTTTAGGAGCTAATCTGTAAGGGCTGTTCTTCAATTCCATTGGTTCTCCCCATAGGCAACCTTGCATATGTGCACTTACACACATGGAGACAGCCATCTGCTAGAGTTAAAAAAAACTAGGCCAAGAATGCTGAGCTAGTCAGAGCCTTCTAACTCATAAAATTCAGAAAAGAAAATAGACTGGAAATGGGTGATACTTATACACAACAGTGTTATCAGTTCAGCTGTTTTATGTTGATGAACTTGCTGACTCCTAGAAGGTATTTGTTTCAACCCGCTGAATCTGAAAAAAGGTTGCATATTCCTGGACTTCTTCCCTTGAGAGGGTAACGTTAAACAGACTTTTTTTCAGTCATGTTATAATAGGAGCAGAAACTAACAGCTGAAGCAGCAGTCACTGCAAGCAAGAGAGCCAAAAAGTGAAAGCCAAAAACCAAGGGCTTTTTTGTTTTGGGTATTTTTTTTTTAAGATGGTGGCTTGGCTCCTTCTCAGGATTTCCTTGATGAATCAGAATTGGGCATTTCCACTTTAAAGTCATTGGCATCACCCAGTGGGGTCACCCCTACATATGGAAATGAAGAAGTACCTTCTTCCATTAATTTTGGATTCAGAAAGTCTAAAAATAAACCCAATCATTCAGTGGGTCTGTAGGTATTTTGAGAAATGTGAAGTCATGGGTCAATCTGTGGATATTACCACAACCATTCTAAAAATTCCTGAATTAAAATCATTTTAAATAATACAAAATTTGTAATATGTTGGAAATGAAGTAATAGAAAGGCATCATAAGATATTCACTCAACCAGGCTCAGAAAGGAATACGGTCCATTTGATAGGTAGATGCTTATAACTTCTTTTTAATACATTGGTACTTAGTGATTCTACTTTTCACAGCTTTTTTGATACAAAATATCTCAATGGAAGGCTACACTGCACCTCAGAGTAAAAAATCTTTTCCTCCTTTAAAAATAAAATTACACTTTTGATTTTTATACACAGATCTACTTACATCAGAACTACCCAACACAGTCCACAATCTGCCCTTCCTACTGCTTTCTCTGATGCTGAAACAAGTATTTGTCAGAGAAACTGAGGCAGAAGCAACAGGAGGAATCAGTGCTTGCCTGGGGAGTTTACCCAGCTATAGGTCTCCTGTCAGCACACAAGCCTGCACCAGCACCTGACAGGGTAATAATAGTACAAGCTAGAGCTCTACCTGCCACTCCTCCGCTACAGAAATATCTGTCTTCCCATTTTGTCAAGAGATAAAATTTACTCTGCAATTTCTCCCTTACTTCCAGAAGAAAATAGTAACCCATGTGAACATATTCAGTGCAAGCATTTGCACTCAGCTCAAGTCCTGACAGAAGCCTGATTGGATTCAGCCTTGTTTGATTGTCCTACTGGTTGCAAGCAACTAAACTCTAATATAT